ACAGGACTGGCACAGACAAATAAGGTTAATTAAATCTTACCTGAAGTCACAGTGAGGTTCCAAAAGCCAGACGCCATACACGCTTGCAGAAGCTGGTAAAAATAAGAACATACTGCTATATTTTCTAATTAATTTCATAGTTCCCCCAAAACAATTTGAATTCTGTCATCACTCACCCTTAAGATGCTCCAAACCATCTAAGACTTTCGTTCATCTTCAAAAGAAAAGCTGAGATATTTTAATAAAAATCTGAGATTTATGTCCCTCCGATGAAAGAAGATTCACCAAAGATGTTCACGTTTCAAAAAGTTGAAATCGCAAAAAAACATCGCCAAAGTAATCCATATGAGTTGCGTGGTTTCCTCCAAGTGCCCTAAAGAGACACCATCGGCGACCACTCTATATAATACTGTTTAAATTTAGACTTATATTCACATTCAAGAGACATTTGCACGCACATCATATTTTATATGCGAAGCTCTCTGGGGTGAGCTCATAATATATTAAAATGCAATTCAATATATTTTTATTGCACTTCAAATAAGCATGTTGGGAATACAAATGTATTATAAACATACTACTTGAATTTCAAGTATATTTTTAATACATTTAATACTACGTCTTTTTACTACTACTACTACTACTACTACTACTACTACTAATAATAATAAAACGTGCAATTACAGCCTTGAATGCTTCATCAACTCAACTTTCCAGACGTGTTTTTCCTCTATGATATTAAAACCTCTGGCCTATTCACCGTATCACATTGCAGCTCTCTCAGTAGGTCATTATTTTGTTGTAACAAAGTTATTTTATGACCTGTTAATCGACCACTGCTTTTTACAGAATTTGCATTCTATCGTAACATGCTTCACTTTCTTTCTTTTGGATGACAGTCTGTTTGTTTCCCGTCTTATTAGATTTTTCATGTGTTGATGCTGCTAGTAGCCTAAATAATAATATTCGGTGGTGTATTTTTGCTTTGCTTTTCTGCATTGGATTACTTTGAATATTACTATTGTTGTTGTGTCACTGTTGTTTCTCACTTTAACGTTTTTGTAAATATAATTTTTCTAGTAGGTTATGGCATAGTTTCAGCACATGATGTCAATACAGACCGTAAGATAAAAGTTTAGTCTTTACTCTGGCGCCTCTCTCTCTCGCCATCTCTCTCTCTCTCTCTCTCTCTCTCTCTCTCTCTCTCTCTCTCTCTCTCAGAATCTTGGTATTAGTGCATTTGCAGTTGAGACATGATGATCTCTATTTCGTCTCGTGTTTTCTGAATGCAAAGAAAACTATTAGATTCTCTCGCGTTTATATTTTTTTCTGTTCACGAGCCAGTTGCAAATGACCATCATGGGCTTTTTGGGATATTTCGAGTGTGGATTGATATTTTTCCTTTTTTTGTTGGATTCTGCGTTTGCTCAGATCGTCTATTCCGTACCGGAAGAGGTAAATAAGGGGACAGTTGTTGGGAATATAGCGAGAGACCTGAACTTGAATGTTCATGAACTGGAATCTCGTATGTTTGAGATTGTGTCTGGATCAAATAAGAAGTATTTTGATGTAAATCTGAAAACTGGCGCTCTGTTTGTTAATGAAAGAATTGACCGCGAAGAATTATGTTTGTCGAATCAGAAATGCTCTTTGAATATAGAGGCCCTTGCTAAAAATCCTCATCGTCTTTACAGAGTGGAGATTAAGATCTTGGATATAAACGACAATGCGCCACATTTTCCTGTTAAAGAATTTACTGTGAATATCAGTGAAAACGCAAGCCCTGGAGAGAGATTTCCTCTCCCTGTAGCCGAGGACTCTGATGTTGGCAGTAATTCGCTGAAAGAATACAAACTGAGTCCGAATGAACATTTCAGTCTAGATACACAGAGTGAAGACCAGAGTGTGTCTGCTGAGTTAGTGCTGAACAAAGCTTTAGATCGAGAGAAACAAGCAACAATTAAGTTAGTTCTCACTGGAGTAGATGGAGGAAAGCAACCTAAATCGGGGACGGTAAATATTATTATAACCATAATGGATAATAATGATAATAATCCAGTGTTTAGTCAACCTCTTTACAAAGTCAAACTAAAGGAAAATGTTGCTGGTGGAACAAAAGTTTTATCTGTGTTTGCCTCTGATTTAGATGAAGGCATAAACAGTGAAATTCTGTATTCATTTGTTGGTCATGGCAAGAGAAAAGACATTTTTTCCATTATCCCCGAAACTGGAGATATTGTTGTAAAAGGGCAAATTGATTACGAAGAGAATCCTACCATTGAGTTACGAGTTCAAGCGAAAGATAAAGGCAGCCCACCAAAGAGCACACATTGTAAAGTTTTAATAGAAATTATGGATGAAAATGATAATGCACCAGAGATAAATGTTACTCCTCTGCTGGAAAGTGTGAAAGAAGACACAACGTCAGGAACCGCAGTTGCTTTAGTCACAGTGTCTGATAAAGATGGGGGTAAAAATGGCATTGTGCACTGTGCTCTGAAAGGCTCGTTTCCTTTCAAACTGGAGACGTCATATAACAATCATTATTCTCTAGTGGTAGATGGACCTCTGGACAGAGAGAGTGTTTCTCTGTACAACATCACAATTACAGCTGCAGATGAAGGAACTCCGTCTCTTTCCAGCAGCACTGTTATAACTGTACATATCTCTGATGTTAATGACAATGCACCACATTTTTCAGCACCTATTATTAACGCTTTTCTAAGTGAGAATGGTCAAGCTGGAGGTCTCGTTACAAAAGTGTCCGCTGGTGATTCAGACACTGGAGAAAACGCAGAACTTTCATATTCACTGTTAGAAAGTTCCAGCTCCAGTGTTCCTATAACAACACTGATAAATATAAACTCTTTAAGTGGAGAAATATTCAGTTTGCAATCATTTAATCACGAAGAAACAAAACGATTCCAGTTTCAAGTTATGGCAACCGACTCTGGTGTTCCTCCTCTGAGCAGTAATGCGACTGTAAATGTGTTTATTCTGGATGAGAATGACAACAGTCCGGTTATTTTACCGCCTTATTCTGAACCTGGATCAGTTAATAGTGAGAACATTCCCTACTCTGCTGAAGCGGGATACTTTGTAGCCAAGATCAGAGCTGTTGATGCTGACTCTGGATATAACGCACTTCTGTCTTATCATCTAACTGAACCCAAAGGAACGAATCTCTTCCGCATTGGACGCAACACTGGAGAAATAAGGACTAAGAGACGAATGAGTGACAATGACTTAAAAACTCACCCACTTCTTATCACAGTGTCTGATAATGGAGAGCCATCACTCTCAGCGACTATGTCCATGGATGTTGTGGTTGTTGAGAGTCTGGATGACATAAAGACATCATTCAGAGAAGTTCCTGTTAAAGAGGAGAGTTTTTCGGATCTGAATCTGTATCTGCTCATCGCTATTGTCTCAGTATCAGTCATTTTTTTACTGAGTCTGGTGGGTTTGATAGCAGTTAAATGCTACAGGACAGACGGCAGTTTCAGCAGGTACAGCGCTCCAGTGATCAGCACACATCCAGACGGAAGCTGGTCCTTCTCTAAATCCTCACAACAGTACGACGTGTGTTTTAGTTCCGACACAATAAAGAGTGATGTAGTCGTTTTCCCCTCGTCATTTCCGCCAGCAGACGCAGAACTGATCAGCATTAATGGAGAAGATACTTTTACGCGCACACAAACTCTTCCTACCACTGGGAAGGTAAGACATGTTGAAAACTTTTGCTGAATGATACATTTTTCGAGCTGAATTATTGTTCTGAATTACTGTCCGCGATTAATTCCGATACATGCTAAATAATCGTTTTGCTATCAACCAAGTTGCTGTTTTATTTTTCACTTCACGTATTTTTATTTATTTATTTTTTGGTTTTGATGAAACTTGATTTTTTAATCTTTGTTCTTATGCCTTGTGGCCTTCGAATACGGACAATGATTAATCTAACCTGTTATCACGAGAAAATTTAGGCCTAAGGATATCACAAGCAAGTTGCAATTTATTGTGATTCGAATGAAAACGTGGAAATTGTTATATAAAGTAAACATGAAGTTGCACCTCTAAACACAACCCTCAGTGGGGCGTACGTAGGTTGTACAAATGTCGCCAATTTGCCAAAACGTAAAACAGTCATGAATTTTCAAGAGACTGTGTTGGATTAATCTGGATCTGTCTGGTGGATGTTTTATGTTTTTACATTTTCGTGCTTCAAATTGAACGCTTTGTATTTAAAATTAATACAATTGAAATAATATATAAAACAGAAAATTCTCTATGTCAAGAAGACGCACATGATAGGCAATTAAAATGCAAAATGAAAAGCCGAAAACGAATATCAATCTCTATTATTATTATTATTATTATTATTATTATTATTATTATTATTATTATTATTATTATTATTATTATTATTATTATTATTATTATTATTATTATTATTATTATTATTATTATTATTATTATTATTATTATTATTATTATTATTATTATTATTATTATTATTATTATTATTATTATTATTAAAACTTACGATCCTGAATGCTT